GCGCGAGCCTGCCAGCCCTCCCGGCGCCCAGCTTGGGTTGACGGGTCGAGGAGCGCCTGGGCAACCGCCCCCTTGGCAGTGAACTCCAGCAGCGCGGACTCCAGGGAGAAGAAGAAAGACGAGGCGGTCCAACCATACCTCGAACCCAGGCGGGCGGCGCTGCCAGTCTCCTGCATGATTGTCCGCAGGGCCGCGGCGCGCGGCAGAACGCGCAGACCTCCAGGACGATGCGCCTCGTGAACTGCAACCCGAGCTTCGGCGATGCCGGCGATGCCCTTGACGCCAACAAAATCGCGAGGACAACCAAAAGAGCGCAACGCCTTGAGGATGTCGGGCGCGAGCCAATTCATGGGACCCGGGAAGAGCTTTCTCGCAATCCGTGTCTCCACCTCAGAGAAATTGTCGGGGAGGGGGTCCAACTGCGCCACGGAGGCGGCAACAGAAGCAATGAATACCTGGTACGCCTCACGGTGTGCATCATGCCGACCCCGACGCTCCTCCAGACCGAAGCCCGCTCCTCCATTTTCTTGAAAATTCCGCCCCACGACTTCGCCCCCCTCCCAGGCCCAACATAAAAACCCAAGTATTTCGCCGACTCGGCAATCTCCAAGGCACCCCACAAAGGAACGTCATCGCGAAGACGGGCACGAATGGCCGAGTGGCTGAAGCCCCCGAGTGGGACAAGGACTGTTTGGCCCACGTTGAGCTCCAGGCCAGACGCGCGGGCGTACTCCGAGAACGTGCGCTCGAGGGGGGCCAAATGCCTCAGCAGCTGCGGGTCGACCAGGGCCGCGTCGTCGGCGCAAGCCCGCAGAGTAATGGATGGAAGGTCACGACGTAGCCGTCTCAGCAGCAAATCGGCGGCGACCGCGAAAAGCAGGGGAGAGAGGGGGCCCCCTTGCCGGATGCCACGATGCGCTCCGAATCCGCGGTAGCGGGCGCCATCCATGTCAACGTCGCAAACATTGCCCTGGCACAACACGTCGATGTAGCTCCGGAGCCAGGGCGGCCAATTGAGGAACTCGAGACATGCTTGAGGAAGGAATGGGCGATGGAGGGGAAGGCGGCGGCGAAATCGAAGAAGATGGCACCGGCCTCGCCCGTCTGGCAGGCGGCCAAAACAGAAGCCTCCTCAATGTCAACAAGGTTGGACAACATGGAGCGCCCGCTGATGAAGCCTCTGTGTATGTCCAACACTCTGGGCCCCACCGCCGGCTCGATCAGCAGCCGCACGGCGTTCGCCAGTAGCCTGTTGTCCGAGTTAGTGACGTTGAGCGGCCGCGCGTTGGCAGGCTCGTAATATCCATCCCCTGTTGGCCCCACGCCCGAAGGCTTCTTGGGCAAGAAAAACAAAAGGCTGGCGTTGAAATCGCCGGCGCAAGCCTGCATGGGGGACACCCCGCCGGCAGACGAGAGGGACTGAAAGGCGTCGAAGAGGATGGTTGTCGAGAGCGCCGCGTTGCGTCGCCATGCTAAGAAAGGGACGCCGTCTGGGCCCGGGCTTCGTCGATCCCTTTGTCCGCGAAGATCTGCTTCCAATGGGGGCGCAGGGCGGCTGCCTTCGCATCCGGGTGCGCGACCACCTCGCCGTCAGGCTGCAACGCCGCCGAGATGCCGCCAGCGCGGCCTGGCGCCAGCCGGTAGATGAGGCGGGCGTTGCGCTGCCGCGCGTGCGCGGCCCGGAAATCGCCCCCGCTCGCGAAGTCAACGCGGGAGCGGCCCAACTCGTCAATGGCGTGTTCGCGAGCGAGCTGAACGGCGTGAAAACGAGCGCCCCGGGGATGGCGCGTCACATTGCCATCGACTCGGTAAGGGTTGTCAACGACTTCCCGAATATAGGGGTAGCGTAGGAGAAATGACGATATCACATTGAAGCGGCCCGCCTCCGCAGCGCGGATGAATTCCATGGTGACCCCGAGGCGGTCCTCCACATTGACAGCCGGCACCGGCACGCCACATTCCTTCTCGATGCGAGTGGCAACTGTCCGCATGGCGGTTTTGTAAATCCGCAGGCGCCCCAGCGCATTGGCATCCGGGGACTCCTTCAAGGATTCATAATACTCCGGCGCCACGCGGCGAGAAAACGCCGGAGCTGCCAGAGCGGAGGTAGCGAGTGGCCGAACATCATCGTCGCCATGTTGCGGAGTGCACCTGGTGAGGAAGACCGCTCGATGATGGGACAAATCGTGGCGCCATTCCAAAGCCGAGCAACGCACGTGCCGATCTAATTGGTCGGACAAGTGGTCATTGCAGTAGATGCGGTCGAGCCGAGAGCGGGCAGAAGAAGACGCGTGCGTGTGCTCAGATTGATGCATCTCGGCGAGCCCAAACCGATCTCCAATGACAGCCTTGAAATGGTTCTCGTCGCGGGCGCCCCGGGCGCCGGAAGGCGCCACGGTGGCCAGAGCAGTCCTGTCAACGTCGGCCGCTACACAGTTGAAGTCCCCCGCCAAGATCGTGAGACAGTCCTCAGCGGGAGCTAAGGAATCACCGATTCTGGAGCGGAACAAAGAACGAAGATCAAAGTAGGAATGAATCGCGGCTCTCCGGGAAGGCGGGACCCCGTGAAGATCTTCATCTGCAGGGACGTGATGGCTGCCCGCGTGCGTATAGACGACGACGATGTCCAGCGCGCCGAGGGGGCCACGTAAGCAAAGTTTCGCAGCACGGCCTCTCCAGATATGAATCCTACGAGGCTGCTCCGTGAACTGTCGCAGAAATGAGCGTCGAACAACTACCCCAACCCAGGCCTGTCCTTGCGAGGCCCCCTCTGACCACCAAGCTGTCGTGCCAGGAGGGGCGCGCCTAGTGGAGCTGCTCGTCTCGGAGCCGTGCGCTTCGGTGATCAAGCAGATGTCAGATTTCAGCGTAAGCTTGTTGACGTAGGAATTCTTGGCCTCGAAGCGATGGACGTCCGCAGCGAAGAGCGCCTGGGCGTTCCAAGTCGTGGCAGAAAAATCCCCCGCGTATTGGCCACGGCGATTTGCTGCAAGGGCGGCGGGCGCCGGAGGGCGCGTCAGAGGTGGCGGGAGGAGCCGGTCAGCGGGCACGGCTCCAACAGCGCGAAGTAGCCTGAGGCGGCGGTAAACGTGGACTGGGAGGTCAAGAGCGGCGCGGTCAAACGTCTGTGCGGGGAGAATCTCGTCGGCGGAGAGTAGCAGACAAGGAAGACGGTGTGCAGCATGCCCAACGGGCGCAGGATATGGCGACGCACGAGGACACCGTGAAGGCGAAGAAGAGAACCGAGAGGCAGAAAAACACTCTGAGAAACCCCGAGAAGAGTCAAGGCTGATGGGACCCGGCGGCTGGCGGTCTGACCACGACGGCGCGGAAGGCGCAGAGCCGTCCACGTGGGCGTGGAAGACGACGAACACGGCGAAGCCCGAGTAGCCCCACTCGTCAATGCAATGAATTCCGAGGTCGACTCCGGACCTCGCACCCCATGAGCGGTGCCTGTCGGCGGCAGGGACACGGGGGGCACCTATCCCCGTACCCCTGGGATGTTCCCCGGCGCGATGTCCAGCTCCAACATGGCATTGCCAACCTTAATGTGGATGAGGTCCTGACCGACCTGGATGGCCTTGTTGTGCAGGGCGGCGTGCAGGGCGTGAATGTCAGCCCTGTTCTTGACCATCACCTTGATGGCCCCGCCAGCGGTGGGCAGACGGCCGCGGTCCACAGGGAGGTATTCCCCGGCCTTGAGGTTGTCGGGGTCGGAGGCGAAGGACAATGGGAGCCCCGTCGACGCGACCGCGTGCTGCATCAGCCTGTTCAACACCTCGCTGTCCTGGAGCCCGATTTCGCCCTGCACTCCGATTTCACCGAATAGTAATAACAGTATTACTAAGTAAGATACTCAAAAATAACAGCAACAACAACAGCAACAGCAGCAGCAACAGCAACAGCAACAGCATCACCATCAACCACAATACTGCCGTCATCAGCATCAACATCATCAAACCACAACCATCGTCGTCATCACCACCACCGCCATCATCATCATCATCATCATCATCATCATCAGCAGCATCATCATCATCATCAGCGGCAGCGGCAGCAGCATCATCCTACTCAGCATAACAATCAGCATCATCACCAACATCCACAACAACAGCCACCGCAACTTGTTCATCATCATCAGCATCACTACCATCACCCTCCTCATCATCATTGCGATCCGAATCCTCATCACCATCACCATCATCATCATGCTCATCATCACCATCACCATCATCAGCATCATCACCATCATCAGCATCATCATCATTATCATCGTGATCAGCCTCATCATCATCACCATCAGCATCCTCGTCATCATCATCACTACCACCGTCAACATCTTTAAGTGCACCAGTATCCTTATCACTACCGCCACCACAAGCATAATCTACAGACTCAACCTCACCATCACCAACACCATCGTCATCGTCGCAAGCATCGCAAACAGTTGCAGCAGCACGATCATCATCGTCATCATCATCATCAGCAGCAGCAGCAGCATGATCGCAATCATCACCCACGTTGGACGCATCTGCATCCTCCTTCTCCTCCTCCTCCTTCTCCTCATCCTCCGCCTCATCATCACCAGCAGCATCATCACACTGATCCTGCTGCTCCTCCTGGTACTGCTCCCCCCTCCCTCCACCTTCAACTGCCATGCCCCCATCTTCCACTCCCTCTTTACCTTCCCTTCCCCCCTCACCACCCCCTGCCCCTCCCCCTCCCCTTCCCCTTCGCTCCTCTCGCCCTTCTCCCCCCTTCCCCTCCTCCTGGGCAGGGAGGCACTGGCGGTGGACTGCCAAATCTGCCAGAAGGGCGAACACAGAGGACACAGGGCGCCCGCAGCGCCCAAAACAAGCCTCGCATGCACGCGGGCTGGGGCAGGCAGGCGAGCACGCCAAAGCATACCCCGCAGCCGAAGGATGCAGGGCCCCCCCCCTGCTTCGTGCGCTCATCCTTGCGACCCGATTCGACTGCCGATCTTGTAAAACTCCAAGGGCCTCGCAGCCATCCGCGTCCAAGCCCCGCACGTCAACCCCGCACTTCTGCAGCCTCCGGCCGTTGACCACGCAGAAGCCCCCGACGCTCGGAGGGCGGCAACCAAACATATGCACTTCTGCCTCCAAAGGCCGAGCGGCGTCCCCGCAGCGAGAGCTGACGCAGGGCACGCTCAGCGTCGGTGCCACACGGCGTTGCAGATGGGGGACTGCGCCAGACACACGTCTTTGCTTCGCGGCCGGCTGATCCAACTCAGCGAGGTCCTTAGCGGGATGCGCAAAGTGGATTACCATCGAGCGTGCGCCGACAGGTGGCAACCAACAAACGGCGCGCCAGCCAGACACACACACACACACACACACAAACACAAACACACACACACACACACACAGACACACACACACACTTTGCCTCAGCAACCGCGTGCTCCGCAGCACGGCATGAAGTTGTCGGGCTAAGCATGTGCAGGCGGAGTGAAAAGTGGAGCCAAGCACGATAATCACACACATACAATACACTGTTGGGCGTCGCGGCCGCGCGCACAGCATCGCAGCGGAATCGGCCAGCTAAGAGCCCAGATAGTGCAGCCGAGGCCCCACACACAACACATGAACACACACGCACACTTTTGGGCGGTAGCGGCCTCGCGCGCAGCGACAAGGCGGAGCAAGCGGGACACAGTGTGCGCGGCGGCCAGGCCCTCAAGCATCACTTAGGATCCAGGTCCTGCCGACATCTGCCATCAGGGCGTGGATGGCGGGAAGGGGACACACACACACACACACACTCTTTAGTCAGCGGCGCAGAGGGTCCTCAGGCGCGAGCAGCAGATGGAAGTGCTGACTGCGACCGAGCATTGTCGATAGCGCAGCGTACCAGTGTCGCACACTGCAACATGCGAGCGATGATGTGGACCATCGTCCCCAGCCAGGCCCGCCTTGAGCCCTGGACTAGCATGCAGTCAGGCCTGGTTCAGCCCGTCCAGGGCCGACACCCCGGCGCGGGGCCCAAGATAGGCCTGGCTGCAACGCAGGGAAGCATTTACACCCCCAGGTGCTGGAGCCATGCCCTGGATCCATGTGGGACCGTGGGTACGGATACTTCCCCGCCCTCAGGGGACGGGCAACTGTCCATGTCCACCACTCCTCGACAGGTCTTCGAAATCCTGGGGCACGACTCCTGGCCAGTGGACAATCGCAGGTATATTCTGGCGACGGACTGGTTGGGCCTGGTGATGTTCTACGCGAGGAACCTGCGAGCACACGGGGCTGGACCCGCATGCGGAGCATACAGGGGCCACGCGCTGCATACAGCCACCGTGCCACCAGAAGGCACGCGGAATAAGGAACGGAGGGGCTTGTCTGGCCACGGCAAGCCTCGGCCACAAATAGGCTCCCCGACGTAGATTTAGGTCGGGCATGTCCCCCCCACAGGCGGATCTTGAACAAAAAAATACCCAAAAAATACTCCGATTTTTTTTTTAAAAATGCTCAAAAAATAGTCCCCCGACTATTTTTCCTATTTTTGAATATTCCTCCTGTGGAGGAACAGGCCCAACTTAAACGTAGATCGAAGTAACGGCGCGAAAATCAGAGCCCCTCCCGAGCCCAAAGCGGTCCTTCTTTCAGCATCTTGACTGTACACGTGCGGAGGGCCCCGTGTGCCTGGCCACAAGAGCGCGGAGCGCTGGAAAGACGAGCGGCCACGAGCGCATCCCGCCCTGGCCCAGGCCAGCCACGTCAGGTGTGCCCCAGGCCTCCTGGCATAGAGAAACGACAGAAATCAGCAACAAACAAACTTTAGGAGCTCCGCGCAGATTTCCTGGATCGGCGCTGGGACAAGCCCCATCAGTGGCGCGCGGAGCGCGCCAATCCTCCTCCTCCTCCTCCTCCTCCTCCTCCTCCTCCACCTCCTCCTCCTCCTCCTCCTCCTCCTCCTCCTCCTCCTCCTCCTCCTCCGCCTCCGCCTCCGCCTCCGCCTCCTCCTCCGCCTCCTCCAGGGGGGTCCCGGCGCAGCTCCGAGGAGCACGCACGGCGCTCCGAAAGCTTGCGCTGTTCTGCAGCTCCGTGGGCAACCGACCTCCCAGGATGGCCTCGCCCAGCGCGCCACCGGGCTCCTGGGGAAACCAAGAAGTACCGGTACCGCTACTCCCAAGACCTCTCCCGGGGGTGCGTGCTGACAAGAATTGCGAAGCGAATCCAGCGGTGGCGACGAGGGCCTCCGAGGAGGCCCCAAAAGGCGAAAACCAGAAATGGTAGCGGTATCGGTACAGTCGGACCTGAGACAGAAGAACGTCCTCAAAGAACACGAGATCCTCCGCCGGCCAAAACACACAGAGCAGCCACGGCTACCACCTCCCCAGGAGGCACAACGACGCCCGACAAGCACGGAGAACACCAGGGTGTACCCTCCCCGAGCCGACCTCGACCTTACGACCACCTCGGCCCGACCGTGCCTTCCCCTCGGGGATGGACAGAACCCCCTTTAGCAAAACGTGGTTTAGTGAAAACGACCTCGGGCCCAAAGCTGGCGGGCGCAAGCCTGGAAAATGACGGCCGCGGCGCCATCTCGAGAATCGAAACCGGACAATTCACTAATCGACGTGTCAGGGTGGGGGTTCTGTCCACCCCCGATCCCCCGCCTCTTGGCTCCAGGAAGCCCATCCGGCACAGCACCTCCCGCACCAGCCCCGGCGAGCTGCGCAGCAGGAAGGGGCCCCCCCCGCTCGCCAGGCGGGCGGCCTGGGACGTCCCGGCGCGGCGCCGCAGGGCGGTGCCGGAGCCCTGCGAGCCCACGGGCTCGACGTAGACCCAGTCCCCTGGCGAGGGGAAGCGACTCGGCTGCGCGCAGGAGTCGGGAGACTCTCCATGGGGGGGGATCCAATGGGGGGGCAGGAGGGGATCCCCCCCATGGGATCCCCTCCTGCCCCCCCATGGGATCCCCAGGGGATCCTATGGGATCCCCCCCCTGGGATCCTATCCCCCCCCCATGAAGAGTCTCCCGAAGGAGTGGCCTTGGGCAAGAGTGACCGGTGGTGCGCGGGCAGGTGGCCAAATCCAAGCGCGCAAGCAGCCGTTCAGGCATCGCACTCCGCAATCGCGGGGGCCCCGATGGGCCTGCATCAAAGGTCACTCTGGCGAAGGGTCACTCTTACGCGAAATCGAAAAATTCTAGGATCGAGAGGATGGTCGAGGGGGGCGGGGTCGAGGACCGAGGAACTTCGACCGAATCCCCCTCTGTGGGCCTCCTGGAGCGCTCGCGTCGGGGGCCTGGACATTGGCACCACCGCCAACACAGGGGGGGGGGCCTCCACCAGGGGAAGACAATGCCAGATCTTGGTGCTGATGGTAATCTCTCGGCCACCTACGAGGCCCGAAAAGTACCCCCGTCACCGAGATCGGGAGCATCCTCCCTCGGTGGAGCCAGGCCTCCGATCGACAGATCCTGGCTGGGCCCATCGAGTCGTGGGCCCAGCACCAGCACTCACGCTCTTCCGGCGAGACCGGGAAGCATGCACACCGACCGCGTGGGCCCACGATTCCCGCAACGGAGAGGCATGGGAGCGACGAAAAGGAAGGGGTCTTACAGCCGGGCACAGGCCAGAAGAACATCCCTCAAGAACATGAGGCCCTCCGTCGGCCAAACAAACAGCGCATCTAAGAGTACCCTCCCCAGGATACACAAGAACATCCAACAAGCACGAAGAGCACTGGTAGGGCCCCCTCCCAGAACCGGCCTCGATCTAGAACCTCGGTCCGACTGTACGCGAGATGGCATAGCGACCTTACGCCGCTGCTGACGCGCGGCACACCGCGTGGAGAAGAGGGCGCTCGCGGGCGACCTTACGCGGGAAGCTTCCGCGCGAATGTCCGCGCAGTCGGACCCGTTTTCTTCCGTCGCTCATGTGTGTATGTGTGTGAGCAAGATCACCGCGGCTCCACGCTTCGCGCTCTTGCTGACTCCGCCTCGTCGCCGCGCGCGAGGCCGCTACCGCCAAAAAGCGTGCGCAAGGTTGGCGTCCCCCGACCTGGGTCTCGCACCCACTCTCTGGCGGGACAAGAGGCAAGTGCATCATCCACTTGGGCGAGCCCCCGCCAGAGGGGGTAGACCACCAGGGGGCCCAGATTGTTGAAGAGGAAGAACTTTGCTATCTCGGCCGCCATGATGGAGCGCTGCCCGTCCTGGATGTAGCCGTGCCGCAGCAGAGTGTCCCTTACTCTGCTCATCCGGATGTCGTCCATGTGGATGGGTGCCAGGGCCTCCTCGGTCTCAAAGGACACGGAGGATTTCACACCATCCATTGTGACCACAGCGCTTGGGTAGCTCACACCTCCCTCTAAAGAATAGTACATCAGGCTCACTCCAGCCTGCGCGGCTGCCGCTTTCACCATTGCGCCAGGTTCCGTGGCGCTCGAGTCCTTGAGAACAGCGAGGTAGCCATTCAGCCCCCACTTCCTTCGGCTGCACGCAAGAGTGACCCTGGGTAAGAGTGGATTTTGATGCGCGGCGCTTGTTTGGGGGGCCGCGGGTGGACCAAACACGGGCACGCAAGACGCTGCTATCGCGCCGCACTCGGCGACCGGGAGACTCCGTTGGGCCCGCACCAGAAGTCACTCCGGCGAAAAGTCACTCTCACGTGTGGTCGACTCCTGGCAGCACACCGACATGGCCACTAGCGGACTGCTCGGCCGCCTGAGGAGGAGGAGGAGGAGGAGGAGGAGGAGGAGGGAGGCGGGAGGCGGAGGAGGAGGGGGAGGAGGAGGAGAGGAGGAAAGGAAGAAGGAGGGAGGAGGGGGAGGGAGGGAGGAAGAGAAGGAGGAGAGGTGGACGGGGAGGAGGTGGAAGAGGAGGAGGAGGAGCACCTCCGGGGCGCTGAGTGCCCCAGAGCGGCGCCCGGCGCCTCGAGGGGGCTGGCCCCGGACCTCCTCGGCGCCAGCCTCGGATGGCTGGGTGGCCACCCACCACACCTCCTCCTCCTCCTCCTCCTCCTCTCCTCCTCCTCCTCCTCCCCCTCCTCCTCCTCCTCCTCCTCCTCTTCCTCCTCCTCCTCCTCCTCCTCCTCCTACTCCTCCTCCTCCTCCTTCTCCTCCTCCTCCTCCTGCTCCTCCAGTCGGACCTGGAACATGAGGCCCTCTGCCGGCCAGAACACACAGAACAGCCAGGGGTGGCATCCCCACAAACACGGAGAACATCAGGTGACCCTCCCCGGACCGACCTCCATCTTATGCCTCGGTCCGACTGATCGGGGCCGCCAGTGGCCCAAGCCGATGCTTACGGGTTCGACCATGGACCCCTGCTTGCCCATCGACCGTCGTTGGGCAGAGACCTACCATCCCCGCATTTATGTAGGCATACCACGACATGCTCTCAGAGCAAAAGAAAGCTCTAAGAAGAAAACACGTGCTATTAGAACATGAAACCGATGCGTCAAAACAAATGTCCCAGCCAGAAATGGTCTAAACACATGTCGTGTAAACCACCGAATGTGCTAAAAACATGACTTGGTGGACCTCTAGTCAGGTCGGGACGCTTTGTCACTGCTCGACTTCGGCGGCCTTCAGCGGCTTTCGGCTTCTTCCGCCAATTTCGGCGTTCTTCGGCGGTCTTCGGGAATTGTCGTCGCTCTTCTGCGTGAAGGCTGGGCGGTTGCGCTTCAAGAAGGGGGCCATGATCGAACACCGAGCAATGCCACGGCTGTCCTGACGTACCGCAGCACAGAGATGAGATCGACGTCGTTGGAGGCGATCACCAGAGCAGAGAGGTCTGGCCTACTGGGCCCCAGTGCCAAGTCGGCGGCCTCCAGAGCGATCTCCAAGTCGACGGGATCCTTGCTGCCACCAGCCTTCCGTGGCACGACAACGGCATCAATGCCGGCATCCTGCAGGCTCGGCCCCCAGTCCCGTGCCTTCGACGTCGTGACGTAGCACCTCTTGACGACCATCTCTCCGAGGGGCTCGGCTGCCAGCAGAAGCGGCTGAAAGTCGGTGGTTCGAAGAGGAGGTCCTGAGGGATGGGGGCCTCAGGGTAGGAAGGGATCCAAGGGTGAATTGCCATTGTTTGGGGCACCTCGTCCTCAGGCCCCCATCCCTCAGGACCCCACCTCTGAACCACCGAGAAAGGCCTTCGGGCCCACCTGGTCGCCGTCGATCAGCAGCGCAACCCGCGCGCCGGTCGACGGGGCTCGAGCCCTCTGCAGGCTGGCAGCGCTACTCCGGCGCAGGGACACAGCGCAGCATCTGCGCGCCCAGCACGCGTCAACAGCTGGCTTCCACATTGGCCAGAAAAAAGAGGCCACGGCGGCAGGACGAACTGCATGATACGGCCCGCGGCATCAACGGCTGAAAGGGCGAGCTGCTGCCTCAGCAGGAACGAATACCTCAACAGAAACGGCTAGGAAGGATGAACGATCTAGAAAGAATAGCTGGCCGCTCTGCAATTGATCGGGAGTTTTTGTACATAGACGAAGGGGCGCGTGCTCATGGGCAGTGACATCCAGCCCCTCCAGCTCCCGTGCTGGCAACTTCAACCGTCGCCTCCACATCCTTCCAGAAAATCCCGTGAGGTCCCTGGAGGTCGTTCCTCCTCCGCCTCCTCCTTCGCTACCTCCTCCACCTCTCCTCATCTTCCTCCTCCTCCCCCTCCTCCACATCCTCCTCCCCCTCCTCCTCCTCCCCCTCCTCCTCATCCTCCTCCTCCACCTCTCCTCGTCTTCCTCCTCCTCCTCATCCTCCTCCTCCTCCTCCTCCTCCTCCTCCTCCTCCTCCTCCCCCTCCTCCTCCTCCTCTTCCTCCTCCGCCTCATCCTCCTCCTCCTCCTCCCGCTCCTCCTCGAACGCACAACATACCTTGGACATTGCTCACCAGCGGCTTTGTGAAAGTGTGGCTCCGAGCGGCTATGAGCACCACGCTGACAAGAGTAATGTGGCACCCAGCTTCGTAGGCCCTGGGGCAGATGCACACTCGCATGCTCTTTTTTGAGGCTCAGTTCCTGTCGCTGGGTAGATCCAATTCGACTCGCTGTCCCTTGGAATCACAACGTCGGTCAACGGAGGGGTGCAGACTGAGTTGCGACGTCGAACTATTGCGTGCAGGCGGGGTTACTATGTCATGGGGAAGTTCTGGGCACGGAACAGAGACTGGAGGTCACGAGGGCTGTCTTCGGGGCGGTGGTCCAGGGAGCTCTTCTGACTGGCTTAACGACCCTGATTCTGAAGACGAAGCAGGAAAAAAACTGAATAGGGTGCTGGTAGGTTTTTGTCGGAAACTTCTCGGAGGTGACGCCTGCAAAAGAAACGGAGATCCTGGGGCCTGAGGGCTTACCACGACTGGATGCAGAGGGGAACCCACTTCTGAACTATAAAGCATGCACGGACGAACAGTTACTGAGGAAATGGGAGTGGCCCCCACGGGTACTGAATTGCGTGCGCGACGGCTTAGGACATATCAACGATGGCTGCGCCATCCACACCGCCATGCCCAAGAAATTGCTGCTGTCTTTGGTCACGCCTGACGGGACCGTTGCTGCGGATACGAACTCTTCTGCATGGAGGTTTGCTGTAGACACCATTCGCCTGCTGCGTCGAGCAGAGGAGGACGAGTTTCTGGAAGAACTCTATGTCTACGAACCTCCGACACCAGATGCGCTTCGATTGAATGTGCATGCACGGTTTTCTGGAGTCCGGGCCATTGCGGCGGTGCGTCTTTGGGCTCCCATCGTATCTTTCATGTTTGGTTGCTTCTCCCATGTATAGGATTGCTATCCTTCTTGTTCTCCTTCATAAGTGTGTATCCTCTCCCTCTCTCTCAGGATCTCTCTTTCTCTCTCTCTCTCTCTCTCTATCTCTCTCTCTCTCTCTCTCTCTCTCTCTCTCCATCTCATCTTCATTCTCTCTCACACACACATTCTCCCCATAGGCCTCCTCCTCGCGCTTCTGCCCCTCCTTCCCCCTCCCCCTGATGCTCCTCCTCATCATCATCATCTTCCCTCTCCTCCGTTGTCTCTTCCTCCTTCTCTCTCGTCCTCCTCCTCCTCGTCATGATCCTCCCTCTTCTGCTCCTCCATCTCCCCCTCTTCCTCGTTATCCTTCTTCTCCCCAGACTCCTCCTCCTCCTCCTCCTCCTGCTCCTGCTCCTCTTCCTCCCCCCCTCACCCCTCCTCATTCCACCTTCCCCTCCGTTTCCTCTTCCTGCTCCTTCAGTCCTCCTGATCCTCCTCCCCATACTTCAAGCGGGACGATGTGGAGGGGGGCGGGGGAGGTACAACGGGAAGGACGAGGCGAAGGAGAAGGAGGAGGAGGAGGAGTGGAGGAGGAGAAGGACGAGAATGAGGGAGGATTGGGAGGAAGAGGACGAGGGGGAAGAGGCGGAGGAGGATGAGGAGGAGAAGGAGGCGGGGGAGGAGGACGAGGTGTATGAGGAGGAGGAAGAGGTGGAGGAGGAGAAGGACAGGGAAAGAGGGAGGAGAGAGGGAGGGGGAGGAGAAAGGATGAGGAACGGGGGTAGGGATGATATGGGAGGAGCAGGAAGAGGAGGACGAGGGAGCGGGGGCGGGAGGGATGAGGGGGAGGACGGGAAGAATGAGGAGAAGGAGGAAGAGGATCAGGAGGAGGGGGGGGGAAATCAACAAGAATCCTTGCGTACTCCGCGTCAGAAAGAATCCCGTTGTAATCCGCACACAAGAGATTATGCCGTAATCCGCCGCATAAGGGTTCCTTCTGCAATCCGCCACGAAAGGAGTCCTGCTGTAAGCCTCCACAAAAAGAATCCTGATCTACTCCGCCACAAAAGAAACCCTATTGCAAACCATTACAACGGGAATAGGTTTGCCAGGTGCCACTAAAGGAATCCTCCTGGAATACGCCACCAAAAGAATCCCTGCGTAACCCGCTGAAGCGAAATCCGTTTGTAGTCCGCCTCCACGGGGATCCGTATGTAACCGCCCCGCAGGAAAAACGCTCGCCCCTCCGAACAAGGAAGACGAAACGAGGGGAAACAAGACACATAGGAAAGACATGCAAAAACAGCGAATGCAAGGAAAACAAACATTATCTTCAGGTGAGAAAGGGATAATAGGAACTTTGGAGCGGCACTGGGAATCTTTTCGTATGCCCCCACCGAAGGAATCCTGTTCTGTAATGTTTTGCAGAGGGGCTCCTTTTGTGGAGGGTTACTAAGGATGCCCTTGTGTGGAGGATTACACATGGATTTCTGGTGTAAGAGAAAAAGTTTTGCGCGGAGGATTGAGGCGTAGGAAGAGGATGCGGTGTAGGAGGAGGAGGATGAGGAGGAGCGAGGGAGGGGAGAGGGAAGAGAAAGAATGAGGAACGGGAGGGGGGGAACATGGGAGAAGCAGGAAGAGGTGGAGGATTGAACGTGTGCGGGGGGGATGAGGAGGAGGACGGAAAGGGTGGGGAGAAGGACGAGTAGGATGCGGAGGGGGATCATCAGGAATCCTTCTGCATTTCGCCCCAAGGGGAATCCCATTGTAACCCGCACGAAAGAGATCCTGTCGCAATCCGCAGCACAAGGGGTCCTTCTGCAATCCGCCACAAAATGGGGTCCTGCTGTAAGCTTCTACGGAGAGAATCGTGTTGTACTCCGCCACCGACGGGATCCCATTGTAATCCATTACTAATGGAATCCGTTTGTACGATGCCACACAACGAATCCGTTGTGCAATGCCCGTTGTACTCCGCACAAAAGACGTTATGGTATAATCCGCCGCAAATGGGATCATTGTGTAATCAGCCACAAAAGGAGTTCTGGTGTAAGCTTCCACAAGAAGAATCCTTTTGTACGCTACCACCAAAGAAATTATTTGTAATGCATTACAGATGGAACTCGTTCGACGGATGCAATAAAAGTAATCCTTTTGTAATGAATGCACCACACAAGGATTCCCTTTGTAACCCGCACAAAAAGGAATAGCTTTGCAGTCCGCCTCCGGAGAGATGCTTCTGTAATCCGCCTCAGAGGAAAGGCGTTCTCCCATCCGAACAAGGCACGGAGAAAAATGAAAAACTGAAAACTAGGAAAACACTGCAAAAGCACAGCGGGAAAAAAGGAAACAACAATATTATATTCAGGGGGTAAGAGGAAAATGAGAAAAATAGGGGGAGAGCAGAAATCCTTTCATAATCCTCCACACAGGCAACCCCTTTGTAGCCCGCACAAAAAGGAATCATTTTGTAACCCACCACAAATGGAATCCCTCTGTCTTGTCCCACAAAATGGGATCCACCTGTAATCCCCCACGAAAGGAATCCCTTTGTAATCAGCACAAGAGGAATCCGCTTCTGTAATCCACCTGAAAGGAAAACCGTTCCCCCCTTCCGAACAAGGTACGGACAAGCAACAAAAAGGAAACATACTAAACAACTGTACAAACACAGCAGGGAAAATGAAACCATGATATTATTTTCAAAACAAACAAACAATGAGAGACACTCGGAATCCCTGTGTAATCCTTTCCACGAGGAAACCCGTTGTAATCCAACACAGAGCGGCTCCTATTGTGGAGGATTGCAAAAGAATTCCTTCTGTGGACCAGTACACATGGTTTTCCTTGTGTAGGACATTACAAAAGGCTTCCTTTTGTGGAAGCTTACCAAAGGCTTCCCAATGTCCCTCCGGTGTTTCTATGTTTCCCTTTCATCCCCTGAAGATAATACCAATGCTTCCTTTTCCCCGCTGTGTTTTTTTTTTTTACCGTGTGTTTCCCTATGTTTCCCTTTTTTTCCTGTTTCCCCGTACCTTGCTCGGAGGGGAGAACGCCTTTCCTTTGAGGCGGAATACAAAGGGATTCCTTGTGTGCGGATTTCAAAAAAATCCATGTGAGGCTGTTACAACGGAATTCCTTTTTGGGGGAAGACAGAGGGATTCCAGTTGTGGCTGGCCACAGAGGGATTTCTTTTGTGCGGAATACAAAGGGGTTTACTTTGTGGAGGATCATAAAAGCATTTCTAGTATATCTCCTATGTGTCCTAGTAATTCCTTCTCCCCTGAAGATAATATCAATGGTTCCGTTTTCCCCGCTGTGTTTTTACAGTGTTGTTCTTGTGCTTCCTTTCTTGTTTGTCCGTACCTTGTACGGAGGGGAGAACACCTTTCCTCGGAGGCGGAGCACAAAGGGATTCCTCTTGTGCGGACTTCAAAAGGATTCGTTGTGTAGATAGTTACCACGGAATTCCTTACGTCGCCAGGCACCGGGATTCCATTAGTGGCTGGCCACAAAAGGATTCCTCTTATTCGGACTACAAAGGGGTTTCTAGTATCTCTCCAATGTTTCCCATTTTCCTTTTCTCCCCTGAAGATGGTCTCAGTGTGTCCTTTCCCCGCTGTGGGTTTACAATGCTTTTCTGTTGTTTCCGTTCTTCCTGTCGGAGGGGAGAACGCCTTTCCTCTGAGGCGGATTACAGAGGGAGTCCTCTTGTGCGGATTTCAAAGGGATTCCTTGCCTGGATGATAACAGTGGGATTCCTTTGGTGGGGGAAGACAAACGGATTCCTAGAGATTCAATGGTCTTCACGAAACAAGAGACACTACAACGTCGCACATCTGACAACACAAAACAAACAAACATATCATACATCAAAACAAGCCGCTGCACCTCACACATCGCGCCACCACAATGGCCCGTACTCGCTTTCTGACCCCCGGGGTGAGGGACAGATTCCTACGGCTCGACCCGTGCGTGTTGCGCGCGGCTGCGAAGACGGAAGTCATACCTCCTCCTCCTCCTGGTTTCTACGCACCTCCCCCTACTCTGGAGGCCCCGGAAGTCCCACCACCCCCAACGGTGCCCGCCCCATGGAAGTGTGAGCTAGCGGACTCGTTGGGTACTGTCTGTGGGAGTGAGTTTGTGACTAAACGAGCCCCATTGGCAAATCAGAGGTTCTCATGGGCCGGGGGGGGGCACAACCTGCGGTCTGTGGTACATACTATTACTGTGACTAGCCAATCCATTTACTGCAGGCAAAACTTCCGTACAAGGCGCATTGCGCAAGTGCATACATTACACGCAGTCCTCGCTCCAGGGCCACGAAACGTGTGAGGGATGGTTGGGAAATGAGAAACAAAATGGGGATGTGGCGACCCCCCTCCCCAGCGCGCGCAACGCTCCAAGGGCGGCGCCAGAGGCGCCGCCAGGGGGCCCCAGCGCCGACACGCGAAATCCGCGCGGAGTTCCGAAAATGCATGTTCGTGCAACTGTTTCGCCGTCATGGCCCTCCTCGTCCCCATGGACGGGGGGTCCCTCCTGCTCCACCGACTTGGTGAGCTCGTCGATCTCCCTCACCAGCTCCTCCCGCTTCTCACGCTGCTGCTGCAGC